TGAATGAAAGAATAGGTAGTTATGATAATGCTCAAATTATGGGTGAGTTCATGTCCATTTGTTAATGAACTTTTCTTAAAGAGCAAGGTGCTTTGTAGATTTTAAATTTCTCAAAAAGCACTTTGAGTTTGTCCTTGGTTTTACAAATGAGGAAATTGAGAATCAAAGACCCTAAGTGATAAGCTCTGGGTCACACAGATTTGTGGGCTACAGATTTGGAGCTGAAACACAGCTCAAGAACTACCACCCATCATTTTTCATAAATTGCTAACTGTAAGACTTAAAAGGCACGGGTCATTGCAGAGAGAAAATTGTGGGAGGAAGTGCAAGGCTCACCTTGTAACAAAGCAGAGCTTCATATTTTGGGGGAACATGTATCCCAGTTTATCCAGGACAGTATTCCTCTGTGTCTGGTCTGCCCACTTTCTGGGGTGATTTGTATTTTCTCTTTATTTTTAACTCTTAACAAACTGTTATTATTCCTAGTTGCACTGAGATAAGCTTCAATGGCATCGGTAGATCTTCATTTTGCACTTGCTGGTCTGCCACGGTCTCACGTAAATAGGGATCCTGCCTGTGAGGAACAGAATTCTCACATTAGCACAGGGTTAGCGGAAAGAAAACCATCAACAACAAATCCCTTTTTCCCCAGACATTTCCAGATCCAACACAGCCCCTGCCTTTCAAGGAAGTGCTTGCTGATAAAGTGCATTCAGACAGGAAAACAGGGGCACATAACTCCTTCACGAAGGAGGGGGTCCTGGGAGGGTTTCGGTGCTGCCGAACCTGCAGGCCACCGGGTGTGTAAATGTGAAACCTGCAAGGGCAACAATTGGTTGACAGGAAATTATATGGCAAACGTCGGTGAAAAATGTGTGTGGAAAGGGCTCAGGAGCCCTCCAGAGAGCCCTTAGAATAGTCTGAACCCTGCTCCCCTGAGTGTGGTTCTAAGACCATGAAGCTTGTTAGACTGGCAGAGTCTCAGGCCCCAGCCCAGGCTACCGAGTCAGAATATGCCCCAGGATTGACATGCACGTTGAAGTGTGAGGCACACTGGTACAAACACTCTTGCTAGAAGCTTGCGATTTATTGCATGGGAACTCTGCAACCATATTTAATCTTTTGTCTTAGCACTTTTTATTTGGCAGTTAACCCATTTGACAGCAATTAGCACCGAACAAACTGGATGTTTAATGGAAAGTTAGGTAATAATTTTCCAAGTTTCAAAGAAGTCGATAATGAAAATGTAGCTATCACAAAACATGTGTATATGTTGAACATCCACTCAAGAATAGGCCTGACCCCATGGACTCCATCAACATCTGTTGAAGCGCTATTGATCTTTATGTCAAAAGTTACTAGGAACTTTAAGAAGACTATGCCCAAGGTAATAATTTAATACAGACAGCTGCAGAAAGTACATTTCTATATCAGTGCTTTGTGAAGCAGGACTTTCATTTAAATAAATACTTGCTAAATTAAAAAAAAAAAAAAAAAAGACTATTTTGCCCAGTAACACTACCAATCTCGGTAAAGGTTGAAACCAATTTGCTGCCCTAGGCTTAAATAGGGGCAGATGAGGGAGGGCATTCGGGGGAGGGGCAAAGAAGCCAAAAACCTAAGGCAAGGAAGTGACAATAGGCAGCTGAGGGGAGTGAATATGTAATGACGGTCAGTAGACCACAGAGAGCTCTATTTTGGGGAGAATGGAGAATTAGGAGGAGTCCGAAAAAATATTTTGATGGGCTTTGAAAGCCAAAAAATGTAAAAAAAAAAAAAAGGAAAACAAAGTGTATGGTAGGGTGTTGAAACTTGAGGTGTTGAAACTTGAGAGGCCACAAAAAGAAAAGGAGCCATTGTAAATTACAGAGAACAATCATTTGAAAGAAGTAGGAAGCAATCAGAGAAGTGTTTTTAAACCCGCAGAGGCAAAAGTGACCATTGTTTGTATGGTCTTAAATATGCAAGGAAAAAATCCCATGTAGGATTCATACCTTAAAGGAGGGTACAACTCTGGAAATTGGAGTGTCTCTTCCATTTATTTATTTGAAATCAAAATGTTACATCTCTCAGGAGTTATGTCCTGGAAATAAGCCAGCTTACTACTGATTTACTCTTTTCTCTCTAATAAATAGATTACAAGGAGTTGATACTTGCAACTCAAATCTTTATTTACAGAAGAAATAAGTATAAATTATGTATGTGTATAGACACCTGCATATGAAATTAATATTTAGTCATGTATTAAGTGCCTGCATTGTGTCAATACAGTGCTAATTGTTTTGTACACATTATTTCATTTAATCCTCACAATTACAGTTGAGGTGGGTGTTATTAACCTGAGAGGAGGGAGACAACATTCATTAAGTAACTTAACTGAAGTCACGCAGCTGGAAAATGTCAGAGACAAGAGCTAGTTCAGAGGTCTAGTTTTGAAGCCTGTGCTCTTAAACAGAAGATAATTTTATAGTATGAGTATGTGGTATGTGATCATTTGCCTGGGTTGCTGGGAGATATAATGCCCTGTTAGTACAATAAAAAAAAAAAGAGAAAATGTATTCCATTTAGCAACTAAAAGTAAGAAAATTCTCCCGAGTTTGAAAGTTGCCCACGTTTAGCTAATTGACGTTAAATAAAAAATGGATCTCAGGACTATCTGTCACATAGTAATCATGCAAAAGTTCTGGAATGAATGAGTAGATGAATGAATACCAGACTTCAGCAGAAAACTGCCTTCATCCCATGAGCCTAAATTCATGTCTATAAGAATTATTCCATCTACTCTTCATTGAATCAGAAATGTTAGAATTCCATTTTTAGTAGATCGCCAATTTCTATTTTAAGCCCCACCAGAGAGCCTGTTGTCAAGACGCTCCAGGGGCTAAAACCTATCGCTTAAGGCCAAAAGATTCCAAGTTGTTGATCAGACAACATGAAGTGGGTCTTCTTAAGTCCTTGGAATCAGGGTTCTCTTGTGAAATAAGCTTCCAGATTTAACCGAAGTGGTTATAAAGCTTTTCTGCTTTTGCTTCCTGGGTATGAATCCTTTTAAGGGTAGGTTCATGGGTGTTTGCAGAATGTCATCTTTCCCCTTTAACCTGCCAGAGAAATGTCATTCCGTTCAGTTCTCACCCCAAATGAGAATGTAAGGAAACTGGACACTGGGACGCTTCAGTGAAGGGAAGAGGAATTAAGGTTTGTGAGAATGCACAAATGATTATTTGAGCGAAATCTCAAGAAAATGGTGAGGAAAAAAGATATGGGCAATACTCAGAGATCACAATTGTAAAGGACATTTACTACATTCAGTAAATTAGGATGAACATTTTCTGAATACTTAGCAGTCTTCCCATTGATACATTGCCTTGACTAAATAATGGCTTTGGAAAGCCAAAGGTCATTGAATATTTTAAATACTTTGTCCAAAGTGATGTCTATATGTCTATGTTTTTTGTTCTCCATCAGCTGCAAATTTTTATTGTGATGTGCTTCATATATATATTTCAGATGGTTGAAATAGCTGATCATAGATTTAAGCACAAGAGAAATTTTAGAGCTTAAGTATTCCAGAAGTTTGATTTTTATGAGCACTAGATTTTCCTTTATGTCTCTGATAATTTTCCATTGCATTAATTCAAGATTTTGATAAAGAAAAAAGAACAAAAACAACAACCAAAAAACTCAAATTACACCACAGGTGACAGGGCTGTCGTAGACAGAAGACAGTCGCGTTGGAGTCGTAGATCTGCTCTCTGGCCACAGGTTTTACACAAAGTCACCGTGATATGATGGGCAAGTCATTTTATCTTTATGAACCTCAATTTTCCTTATCTGTGAAATTCTAAGTTTATAAAACTCTTTCAATCAATCTTTCCAGCTCTAACGTGCTCTCTGTGTCTTCTCACTGGAATCTATGTCAGAAAAGTTTTAACTGATCTAAATTTAAAATCCGTGATGTTAATAGTATCTTAAATATTGATTGAGTTCAAGAAGGCCCTTCATTTAGTTATTGCAAAACTTTTCGTTAACAAGTGCACCTGAATTGGGTCTGTATTGTTGGGAACTACTTCTGTTTCATTACCCTGCCTTACTCCTTGTTTTCTTATTGTAACATATAGTCATTTAACTTCAGAATTTTCTTTGTCTCATAATAGATAAGTCTGGATCGGAGCTAGTAAATTTAAGAAGGAAGTGTCTATATTGAATTCTTCCTACGTCTTACTTGTTTAAATATTTTTTTTAATTTAAAATTTAAAAAAAATTTTAATTTAAAAATTTAAAAGAATTTCTTTCTCATTCATACCACTTTCTTGCCTGGCGTTTCACATAAGCTGACCTGCACATCCTCTCCAGGACTAAGCGTTCTGCTCTAGTTCTCTTCCTTTAATTCCCTCTATATCTTAGTTTTGTATACCTTGTTTTCTGACAGGTAACTTATAAAATAGTAGATTTTATGACAATAGATGCATTGATGATCTTAGCTAAGTTATTTGCCTTTGGAACAGAACTGCCTGGTACTTTAAGGAAAATGATTCTTTGGGTGCTGGGGGCAGTAAATAAGATGGGGGAGATTTTTGAGACCTGAGGTGGGTAATTGTTTAATACCGAGGAGTCAACATTGTGATTAATTTTGTGATGGTAAAGATTTTATTTTATCCTTTCTTTCCGATATTAAATGAAGTAGAATGCATGGCACTGTGTTCTCCTGACCGTGGCTGTCTGAGAAAACGTGTCAGTGTGATTACACTGTGTGACAGCAGTCAGACTTAACCTCCTGGAATAATAATTGTAAAGATATTTTATTCCAACCAGTTTTTCGTTGTTTCTCATTAACTCTTAAGATCATTAAAAACTTTGAAAATGGGTATAGTTATGCTGCACCTTAGAAATATAAATATCTAACAGTTTTTGTATGTATTTGTGATGAAAAATAGAAGAAAAGAAAAAAATTTGATAAAGTCTTGTAAGAGTGACCCTCCATTTGTTTCGTTTCTTTCCAGCCGTGTCCTGTGGAATCCCAGAGGCCCCAGGAAACGGTTCTTTCACGGGGACTGAGTTCACGCTGGACAGTAAAGTGATCTACGAATGCAGCGAGGGCTTTAAGCTTGCAGCTAGCCAACAAGCAACAGCGGTGTGTCAAGAAGACGGCTTGTGGAGTAACAAGGGGAAGCCTCCTACGTGTAAACGTGAGTGTCCAAGGGTACTCGCCTGTCTTTGCAGACGTGAGGAGGAACGGAATTCGCTGGGGAGAACTCTGGATCCCAATGTCCTGCGATCCTCTCCCACAGCACGTGAGGGCTTGGTCTCACCTCGTGGTGAGGTGAAAACCAATTTACTCCATATGAAATCCTCCAACCATGTAAAATCTCGGAGGTTGGTCATAGAATTGTGTTGGTTCCATCAGTATCTAGACCATGTGATTCATAACCCTGACGATGCTGCCATTTTCAATTTGGAGAGATGAACTTGAGAGGACATGAAGACATCAAGCCTGGAAATAGCATTCTACACAAAATATTAAACATAATTCTACACGGGTTTCGTCTTCATCTCCCATCTCATTTTAAGTTCCTTGAGGTTAAAGGCAGTGCCTAGTATATTTGAATATCACCAGCTCTGGATAGTGCATTGATGCTCAAAAAGTAACTCACTGATTTGTGAAGTGGGGTAAGTTTTCTGGAAAGCTATTTACAGTGTATGATAATATTCTTAAAAGGGTCAAAAGTTTGGGCCCATTCTAGGACTCTAGTCTTAAAAAACAATAATCAAGTCCATAACGCAAAGCCAAAGACAACCAAAGTTCACACGCGTGCACATACACACGTACATGCCTGCACACACACACAATTTACAGCAAGATTTTCATCACAGCTGTATTAAAACTAGCCTCAAACTGGAAATTATCTAGTTTCTAAAAATTGAAAATTATATAATATTTCTACATAGACAATAATATTTTTGCTTTTATGATACTCGCAAAATGGATCCACATGGTCTTCAATTAGAAAATTAGTTTACTGACCTCTTTTTGTATATAGTATTTTGGTCATTAAAATTATTTAAACTTCTTAGATATGAACATATAAATGTTTACAGAAAATAATCGAGTTCCTTCCACAGTTTTCATTTTCCTTGTTATCATTTTCATTTATTTTCACTTTTTTTTTGCAAGTAATTATTGCATTTCCTGAGAGTCAGTTAGGCACCACTGAGACAACATTAAAATTTCTTAGTTATTTTCTATTGAATAAAATACCATTTTATTATAATTAAGTAATAGTACAGGAAGCGAGGATAATAAGATACATTGGTATGTTTTTAAGTTCAAGTCTTAATAAAATTATTCTCTCAAAATAAGAGCTTAACCCCACAGATGACAAAAACGCATACATATTGTGGGTTTCTTATAATAAGAAAAATTTCCTAGGCATTTAAGATGCTGCTCACTTTGCACATAGCTCAGAGATCATTAACAATAAGGCCTGTCGTTTTAAAGTGTCTACTAGGTGCCGTATGTTTCAAATAGCTTCTCTATGAATCTCATAACAACTCTGAAAAGATAGGACACAGATGACATTATGAATGAAGTATAAGCTACTAATTTGCAGAACTAGGTTTGAATTCGACTCTCTCTAGTTCTCAAACCGATGCCCTTTTCATTATCCCAGGGCTTCTCCACTCTGGTAATATATTAAAATCATCTAGGCAGCTTTAAAAAAATACTAGTGTCCAGGTTTGACCCTCAGGGATTCTGAGTTAACTGATCTTGGGTGGAATACAGGCATCAGCGATATTTTTTTAAGTTGTCTGGATGCTATGCTTAAAATGTCAAGTATAGGCTATGTTTTAAAGGAAAAGCCATTTTAAATTTGTATACTGTCTGAGAAAGACTTGATAAATGACAAGGTAACTATATAAATGTAATTTTTATTCTCATATTTTTTTAAAAAGACTATTTTTTAGAGCAACTTTAGATTCAAAGCAAAATTGAGCGGAAGGTACAGAGGTTTCCCATGTACCCCCTTGCCCCCAGACAGCCTCCCCCACTATTAACACCTCCCACCAGACTGATGCGTGTGTTACAATCCATGACCCTACATTGACACGTCATTATCACACATAGTCAATAGTTTACATTAGGGTTCACTCTTGGTGTTGTACCTTCTCTGGGTTTGGACAAATGGCTAGTGACACATATCTATCATTAGTATGACACAGAGTTGTTCCACTGCCCTAAAAATCCCGTGTGCTCTACCTATTATCCACACACCCCCCCTCAACTCCTGGCAACCACTGATCTTTTTACTGTCTCCATAGTTCTGCCTTTTCCAGAATGTCATATAGTTGGAATCATACAGTATGTAGCCTTCTCAGATTGACTTCTTTTGCTTAGTTACACGCACTTAAGTTTCCTCCATGTCTTTTCATGGCTTGATAGCTCATTTCCTTTTAACACTGAATAATATTCCGTCGTCTGGATGGACCACAGTTGATTTATCCATTCACCTACTGAAGGACATCTTGGTTGCTTCCAAGTTTTGGTAATTATAAAGAAAGCTGCTCTAAACATCCACGTGCAGGTTTTTGTGTGGACATAAGTTTTCAACTTGTTTGGGTAAATACCAATACTAGTTTGATTGCTAGATCATATGTTAGGAGTATGTTTAATTTTGTAAGAAACCACCAAAGTGTCTGCTAAAGTGGCTGCACCATTTTGCATTCCCATCAGCAATGAGTGAGAGTTCCTTTTGCTCCACATCCTCACCAGCATTTGGTGGTGTTAGTGTTTTGGATTTTAGCCATTCTAATAGGTGTGCAGCGGTATCTAATTGCTGTTTTACTTTGCATTTCCCTAGTGACATATGATCTGGGACATCTTCTCATGTACTTGTTTGCCATCTGTCTACCTTCTTTGGTGAAGTTTCTATTTAGGTCTTTTGTCCATTTTTAATCAGAATGTTCGTTTTCTTATCGTTGAGCTTTAAGAGCTCTTTGTGTAGTTTAGATAACAATCTTTTATCAGGTTTGTCTTTTGAAAATGTTTTCTGCCAGTCTTTGGCTTGTCTCCTCATTCTCTTGACAGTCTTTTGCAGAGTAGAAGTTTTTAATTTTAATGGAGTACAACTTATTAATCCTTTCTTTCATGGGACATGCCTTTGGTGTTGTATCTGAAAAGTTATCCCCAAAACCAAGGTCACCTAGACTTTCTCCTATGTTATCTTCTAGGAGTTTTATGCATTACATTTGGGTCTTCGATCTGTTTCAGATTAATTTTTGTGAAGGCTGTGAGGTCTGTGCTATATTCACTTTTGCACATGGATGCCCAGTCATTCCAGCACCATTCGTTGAAAGGCTATCTTTTCTCTGTTTGTGTTGCCTTTTGCTCCTTTGTCAAATATCAGCCAGCTGTGTTTATGGGGGTCTATTTCTGGATTCTCTATTCTGTTCTCTCTATATATGTGTTTATTCTTCGCCAATTCCACACTATCTTCTCACTTCTGTTTTTATTTGCCTAAAACAATATGATAAAATAACACTTTTTTCCACATGTATTTAATATGAATTCAATAGCTTGGAAACGTAACTAAAAGAACATTTTCCAGTTTCCTACAAAATCAGTCTTGTTTTTGGTTGTAAATATTTCTAGGGACATATTTGATTTTAGTAAAAATGCCCTGATAGACGTGGATACTTCCATCATCTTTAAAGCTATATGGAAATCATTTTGCCTGGAGATAATTGAGCTCATTAGGGACCACAGACACATAGTCTCAGTGGCATTTTGTTTTAGCCAGTGAAGCATTATCCTTAGATTAATTGAACGGTGCCTCACATATGTGCCTGTTACTTCACAGGTTGATGAAGTGAGCAAGAACCTTCCATCTGTCACTGTGATGTTGAATTGCTTCTTCCTGAACACGTGCAGGACAGAATGCATTCAGAGTGTAAAGACAAACTACTTTATCTACATGAGCCACGTTTATGTGTTAAGGCCGCACCTCATTGGGTTAAGCCATTACACACACCCAAATTTTTAGCTCTACTTTCTAGCTTCGTCTCTAGAATGCCAATGCAAGTGGTTTATATCTGCTAATTAATGGATTGGCATCACAGAACTCCAATGTACAGGGCCAAGTATGGGAGATTATGAGGAAAAGAAGCACAGCATAGCTTTCTAAGTCCTTAGTTGGGGGTAGAGAAAGAGAGATGCAGAGAGTTTCAGAAAGAGGGAAGCAGACAAAAATGCCTGAATTCCCAGGAGACAGTGTGTGAGATAGATAACTCCTGTGGGCACAGGGAGCCAAAGAAATTACTCATACAGGGAGGTGCGGTGCACCCCTAACTCATTCGCTGAGCAGCCAGTGCCTGTGCACTCTGTTCAGGCCGTCGGGCTTACAACCACTGGCATATAAAAGTTGATGAGACAGCCCCTGCCCTCAGAGCCTGCACATGTGCACAGGACCTTAGACAAATGGCCTGGTGGAAATCACAGTAGAAGAGATAACTGATGTAGATGAGGTAACTGATGTGGATGAGGTAACATGGATGCTCTGCCTAGGATCAGTCTTTATAGAAGAGATGGAACTCCACCTGGGACTGGACTTGGTCTGGTGAAGTCATAGTAATAATTGGGACCACTTTTTTGAATGATAACTCTAGATATTGTACCTCATTAAACGTTTGTCTGTTACATCATTCAATCTTATGGAGAAGGCATTGTTTTCCTTATCTTACTAATTTAGTAGAAAGTAAATAACTTAATTTGATTGGTCATCATAAAAACATCTGGCAAAGCGTTTCATTGTAGTGACACCACCCTGGGGGACATCCCCTCTGCCACAGGTAAAGCTGTGCAGTGATCGTTTGATTCCATGTGAATGCTTTGGGCATCACAAGAACACAGTGATTGTGTAATGTTGCCAGGACCTGCCTGGGGAGGCACTGCACCGCGGTGCACCATGAATTCAAGGCTCTGTGCAGTCTACTAGCCTATGAATAGTTTAAGTATTAAACTGGTCCCAAGATAAGTGGGGGCAAATGTAAGGAGTGATGATATGAGAGTCTCAAAGCTCTGAGAAATGCCCAGAAACGGGGGCAAGAGGAAGAAACAGAAGTAAAGAACAGGAACAGAAGCCAGGCTGTGAGAGTGCTCCCGGCTACCCACAAATCGGGTGGAAGGGAATTC